ACCTGTTAACTCCATCCAGACCAGGGGCTCCAACAGCTCTTCTGGCCTCCACTCGCAGCACTGCATGACACCGGTGCACTCACATACATGCAGGCAATACACTCATACACATAAAATAAAAATAATATTTAAAAAAAAGAACTATCAGATGGGGTTTTGAAGACACACCAGGTATTCTGTTTTTTCATGTGTGTGTGTGTGTGGTGGGTGTGTGTGTGTGTTTGAGACAAGGTCCAGGTAGCTAAGACTAGTGTCAAACTTATTGTGCAGCTGAGGATGACCTTGAACTCCTGATGGTCCTGCCACCACCTCCTGAGTGCTGGGATTACAGGTGTGCACCACCAAGACTGGTGTATACAGTGGTGGGGATGCAACCCCAGACTTCATGTATGCTAGGCAAGTCCTCTACCAAGAGAGCTAGTTCTCCAGCCAAGCATTCTTTTGAGGGATTCTTTTTTGAGAGTGTCTCACTGTGTAACCCATCCTGTCCTGAAACTCACAGCAATACTTCTGTCTCGTTCTCCCAAAGAGCTGGGATCACAGGCCTGAGCCACAATGCTCAGCTAAGATCAGGCATTCCTGGTGGGTTTTTTTTTCGTTTTTTGATGTGGTACTGGGGTTGAACCCAAGGCTTCCCCACATATACTAGGTGAGCACTTTACCACTGAGCTATATCCCAGCCCACATCAGACATTCTTAAAGGAAGCGAACCATTACAAAGACAGGTGGTGCATGTGATCACCTGTGTAACTGACAAGCATGTGCCATTAGCAAAACAGTAGAGACTGTTTGAGACAGGGTCCTGCAATATGGCCCAGACTGTCCTTGAACTCTCAGCAATCCTCCTTCCTCAGCCTCCCACGTGCTGGAATTACAGGTGGGAGCCACCATATCCAGCACAAAGACACCCTGCCGAAGGCAGAGCAAGATAGCCAAGGATTGAGTGACCTTGGGAGCAGTGTGGGACCACCATTTAGAGTGAGGACAGTGACTATCAAGTGAATTTCCTCCAGTGGCTAAGAAACAATCTCCGTAGCCAGCACGGTTCACTGAGTACCTACCATGTTCCAAGTACTTCTACATTCTTCCGAGTACATAGTAACCCAGATTTATACAAGAAGAAACAAAGGTTCTGATAAGATCAGTAAAATGCCAAAAGTCACACAATTAGTATAAAACAGAACTAGGATTTTATTCCAGGTTTATCTAATGCCAGAGATTGTTAACTGTTTCCTTTGCTTTCAAAGAAACAGAGAATTCATAGCCAGGTGTGGTAGTGCACGCCTTTAATCCTAGCACTGGGGGAGGCAGTGGCAGGTGAGAGCCAACCTGGTCTACATAGTGAGTTCCAGGCCAGCTGTGGCTACAGGGAGA